TTACGAATCAGGCTGTGAACCTTAAGGTCAGCAGTTCAAAACTACCAGCTGTTCTGTGGGAGAAAGATGAGGCTTTCTGTTCCTGTAAAGACTTACAGCCTTGGAAACCCTGTACAGGGTCACTATGAGTTGGAACCGACTTCATGGCACATAACACCACCACCATCACCACCAGAGCAAGTGACCGGTGATAAATGACAGAAATGACTTCCCCTTCAATGTTTATCAGTTACTTGGAATCCTTCTATAACAGGAATCCTTATACAGTGGGAAAAAAAGGAATTCATTCACTACGTATATTTGAAAAACAAGCACTAAATGTGAAAAGGGATCCAGTTCTATTTTAAAAATAAATAGAAAATAAATTTTCTCAGTCTCATAAACTAATTTAGGTTGCCATTCAAAAATTTCAACCACACATTTTCTTCCTTAAGTGTAATTCTATGTACATGATCACATTTTCCATTAGTATTAAGTTGTCAATGAACATTGTGTTGGAAGAAGTACAGCCAGAATGCTCCTTAGAAGTCAGGATGGCAAGATTTTGTCTCTAATACTTTGGATATTTTATCAGGAGGGACCAGTCCCTGCAGACAGATATCATGCTTGGTAAAGTGGAGGGTTAGAGAAAAGTAGGAAGACCATTTCATTATAATATGCATTAGCACAATGACAACAGTAAGGGCCTCAAGCATAACAATTGTGAGACAGCTGCAGGACCAAGCCGTGTTTCCTTCTGTTGTGCACAGAGTCACTATGAGTCAGAACTGACGCAACAGTATCTAACAACAAAAACATTCAGTTCACGATACCTGTTGTAAGTAAGTAAGTAAATAAATATGAGTGGTATATCTTAAATTTCTATTTCATATGAAAAATGTTCCTGGTTCCTTGTGTGTACACTGACCTAGCTTTGGTGTTCATGAAGCAAACAATTCCTTATTTATAGTTCATGGCTGATGCCAATGTTTCCATTAAAAGGATGAATAAATAAAAATAATTTGTTTCCAAAGTAAATAGGTGATTCTATGATGAAAACTCAGTGCCTGCATATGATTGATAGAATCATTATATTTCTCTTAAAATGAAGGCATGCCATCTTTAGACCCCAGCTAAGCACAAACATTGTTTAATTAGCTGTAATTTGTAATATTTTTAGCAAGTTGTATCTAATGGTATAAGAACCATTCTGAGTGATTTCCCTTTATTATTTCACTTACTCTTCCCCCAAAATAATAGAACATGTACCTTTTATTTTTAATTGTGAATTGAGTGAAGGGTTAGAGACAATATCAGCACTTTTGGATTCAACAAACCTTATATTTGGTTTCATCTCAATGTTGTAGAAATACCCTCCATGCAACAACAGTTGTTTTGCTAGCTCCCTGTGGTTACCTATGTACAAAAATCCGCTTTCAAACTCTTATTTATGTACTTGTGAGGTATATCCATATACCCTCTCTTGTTAAAGAAGTACTCTTATTCATGTTTTCTGATGAAGCAGCAAGCAGAAAAAGTAGTCAATGAGTAGCTAATTTAGTACCACAATTAAAGTCAAAATCCTAAACAAAACATGGGAAAACCCATAAGTTTTTGGCTTTACTAAGTATTTGTTGTTGTTGTTTTTAAGTGCTGTCGAGTCGGTTCCAACTCATAATGACCCTGTATAGGGTTTCCAGGGAAAGGTGGGTGGCTTTGAACTACTGACCTTGAAGTTAGCATCCCAGTATTTACCCTACAGTGTCACACCAGGCCTCCTAACTAAGTATATTCTTTACAAAATATGCTGGGAGCTCATTGATAAATTGTATCAATGCAAATCTGGCAAATAAATATTAAACATTAAATACAGAATGTACTTGGGATTTGTCCTTATCACAACAGATTAGTTTGTTGACTTTTTCTCTCTCCATTTTATTTCCCTTTATTAATAATGGAGTCACTGGGTGTTTAAAAGGTACCGTAATCCATGGTATACAAACGGGAATTACATGTTTTGAAATTATTCTAGAAATACATCTCAAATATCCTGAACATATCCATAACCTTAGAAAGACTTTTTTTTCAAAATTTTATCCAGAAGATGTCATTTAAAAAGAGTTACATACCAAAAATAAATAGAAAATTCCTGTATGAAGTGATCAATAATCATGAAGGACTAAAAATTGACTAATTATCTGACAACAGTAAAGTTGATGGGATTTGATACATTAAATAAATTATAGTTCATAGAGTTTTTTGTTGTTGTTAAGTGTCACGGAAGGAGCTCTGGTAGCGTAATGGTTACGAATCGGGCTGCTAATCTCACGATCAGCAGTTCGAAACTACCAGCTGTTCCACCAGAGAAAGATGAGGCTTTCTGCTCCCATAAAGATTTACAGCCTCGGAAACCCTGTACCGGGTCGCTGTGAGTCAGAACCAACTCCACGGCACATAGCATGTGTCACAGAGTCAGTTCTGACTCATAGTGAACCAGCAAAGGTTTTCCAAGTCTGTAAATCTGTGGGGAAGCAGAAAGCCTTATATCTCTTCCGTGGAATGAATGGCGGGCTCTCCCCTGTGATCTTGTGGTTTGCAGTCCACAGCAAACTTTCCCCGAATAAGTTAAAAGAGACATTAAAATTCATTCAGTACATGAAAACACAACAAAGTTGTTAAAGCACAGATTTGGGGAACATCCACAACCTGGTTTCAAATTCCAGCTTTACTGTGTACTAACTTTGTGGCATTTGGGGTGCCAGGTGCCTCTATAAGATAAGCACTAGACTGTTAACCACAGGGTCAGTGAGTGGAGCCCACTGAGCCCACCAGCTCAGCGGCAGAAAGATGAAGCTTTCTGTTCCCACAAAAACTTACATCCTCAAAACCCTAAGCAGACTCACTGTGAGTCAGAACTGACTCGAATGCAAGTAGCAAAAAGTTGTCAGAGATGCGGTAAGTTCTCAAACACTTTTTGCCTCAGTTTCCTGATACAGTAACTTAAAACTTGCACATATAATTTTTATCTTCCTCTGATAAGTCTGTTTGTTATTAAATAAACAAGAGGCTTCAAAAACTTCATGGAAAAATAGAAGTAAAAGATAATGGAATTTTTCCATGAACTTTCTGGAGTCCTCTCATATTCTGATGTGAGTTCAGTCTTTGAAGAGTTTTATAAGGAGAAACAATGGATACAAATCACCTCCCTACCCCCCTGCCTTTATTGTTATTAGCTTCATTCCATTTACTGTATGTCCCTACACTTTTGTATCCAATACATTTTTCCAGAATTGCCTGTTACAAAATAAACAATGCCATTTTAAAGCAAGTAATAACATTTTCTAAGAAGTGCAAATAATTCAATACACTCTCCTACCTCTAAGAAATATAATTTTTCCTTTGTCATCCAAACAGGAAAAACACTCAAGGTACAATAAACAGAAATCCATTTATTGTTCATGGTAGTAGGAACAAAAAATAGATCTTTCCAGCATTTTATTTAGTACGTACCTAAGACATGAATTAACTGTAACAAAAGTTTTAGTTAATAGCTGTATTAACAATAGCCTATGCCTTCACTGTTACTAATGGCTTTTGTTTTCTAAGAGGAATTATCAACTGTGTGGATCATAACAAACTATGGATAACATGGCAAAGGAGAAGTGTGCCAGAACACTTAATTGTGCTCATAAGGAGCCTGCACATTGGCCAAGAGGCAGCCCTTCCAACAGAGCAATGGGTTACAGAATAGGTTAAAATCGTGAAAGGTGTGTGCCAGAGTTGTGTTCTTTCTCCATATTTATCCAATCTGAGTCAGGCAAATAATCTGAGGAAATAGATTATATAAAGAAGAATTGGAATTCAATCAGGATTGAAGGAAGACTTATTAACAACCTGCGATATGTAGACGACACATTCTTGTTTGCTGAAAGTGAAGGGGACTTGAATTACTTATTGATGAAGGTCAAAGATTATAAACATTAATATGCATTGGCCCTCAATGTAAAGAAACCAAAAATCCTCACAACTGGACCAGTAATTAACATCATGATAAACAGAGAAAAGATTGAGGCTGTTGTTAAAGACTTCATATTGCTTGGATCCACCATCAACACTCATGGAAGCAACAGTCAAGAAATCGAATAATGTATTGCATGAGACGCATCTACTTCAAATGATCTCTTTAAAATGTTTAAGAGAAAAGATGTCAGTTTGAGAGCTATGGTGTGCCTGACATAAGCAAGGGCATTTTCAATAACATCATATGCATGTGGAAGTTGGACAATAAATAAGGGATATTGATAAAGAATCTATTTGAATTATGGTCTTGGAGAAGACTAGTAAAAGTAGCATAAACTGCCAGAGAACAAACAAATGTGTGGTGGAGGTACAGATGTGTTTGTACTTTCTCTCCTTTGAAAGAGGAGAGACTTCATGTCTCATACTTTGAACATGTCAGGAGAGACCATGGAGAAGGACATCATGCTAGGAAATGTGGAGGATGCATGGAAAAGAGCGACACTCACAAGGAGAGGGGTTGACGCAGTGACAACCACATGAACTCAAATATAATACTCATGAGGATGGCTCAGGACCGGACACTGTTCTGTACTGTTGTGCATAGGGTCACTACGAGTTAGAATTGACTCCATGGCACCTAACAACAAAGCACAATAGAAGTGTGAAGTCCATTGGAAACTGCATGTCATTCATCCTGAACATCATTGATTCCTACACTAACTTGGCACATCAGGTCAGGTAGCTCACTGAACATTGAGTGAGTGGTTTATTCCCAGGAAGACTTCTATTGGCCACGCAATGGTCTCTTATTAAATAGTATATTTTTATAATATTCATATGTCAAATATATTTATGAGTTAATATCATTCCATAGCACTTTTCATCACATGCAAACTGTTGATATTATTTGATTTGATGTTCAGCCACATTTTCCATAAGTGAATCAAAGGAAAACAGTTATGCTACTTAAATCCTCTGGTGTGTTTTACTGGATACCTCACCTCTGCTCTCAGCTCACAGATTTCTCTCTCCTGGCTGCTCTGACATTTTGATCCCTCCTTTACATCTCCTGATAGTCCTTCCACTTCATTCTCTTGTTGACCATGAAAAATGTTAACCTGAAAAAAAAGAAATAAGTTCAAGCTATCATCACGTGTTGCCACAAAGACTGTTCCAGGATTGTACACATTAGCCTTTTTATGTTTCTTTGTTTTCCCCTTTTTGTTTTAGGGGTCATTCTTTCTCTGTATGGATTCTGGAAAGTTGTCTTGTTGATACTCTTTTTCTTGTTGCTGAGCCATCTGTTTTTATACTTGTAAGTGAAAAATCTTGACGTATTACAAAATGAATTCAGTGATTGAAAAAAAATGAGTAACTTCTAGTTATCTCCTTAACTTCCTGAACAATTTACCAATTGGTTTCTTACAATAATCTAATGAGTGCTGACCTTTTCATCCTGAACTTTAGCACTTCAGTATCTTATTTGTTTCTGTTAGCTGTAAAATAGAAATAATATATTGATTGAAACAGAGACAAATTTGGAAATGGAAGCACATAAACACATAGGAAAATGAGAAAAGTTATTGAAATTCTGTACAATGAATTTTTATAAAAACCAGAAATACTTGTATAGTATAACAACTAAAACTGATAAATATTTGAAATGTACATGATGATTTCCTTTATTAGTATGTTTTTCACTAGAATATTTAGGTAAATAGTCCCAGCATTTTATATAAGTTGTATACAACCCTGTTTTAAGTTTTGTTAAAAGCTAGTAGCATGCCATTTCTTTTTTAATTAAGTAATACCATCACTAATAATGTTGTAAGGCACCCTGGTAGCATAGTTGAGCTGCTAACAGCAAGGTCAGCAGTTGGAATCCATCAGCCACTCTCAGGGAACAAGAGAAACCTTTCGGCTCCTATAAGATTTACAGTCTCAGAAACCCAATACAGAGTTACTATGAGTCTGAACTGACTCGACAGCACAAAACAATAACAATTTCCAATAACTGAACTTGATATGTGCTGCCTTCGTTAATGCTAATAATAACCCTGAATATTCATTAGGTATTGTTACTGCCCCTGCCCTCCATCTATATCACTGGTTCTGTTAACCTAGGGAAGTCTGACAATTGCACATTGAAATCATTTACTGAAAAGTGATTCATAGATAGAAGCTGCTAACAACAGAAACACAGCTGGAGACGCTATCACCCAATTACTCTAGAACTGGACAGCCGTGGGGGTGGGAGCTGATTCGTAAGCAAACTAAAGTGAGGCTGTATGTGCAGAGTTGGAACCTTAGAACGGGTACCACTAATGATCCAAGTAATAACAGGAGATAATAGCAGGAAGTCTGCTTATATAAGTTCCTCCCATTCTTATGCAAAATAGCTTGGGATTAATCCCTAGCAAAAATAAAATAACATAAAGTCACTTACTGTGTGTGTCATCAAGTCAGTTCCAACTTATTATGGACCTTGTATAGGATTTCCAAGAGCAGTTGGTAGGTTTGAACCACCAAATTTGAGTCCTGGTGTGGCACTGTGGGCTAATGAGCTAGACTGGAAAGTTGTTTTGAGCCACAAGGTTGGTGGTTCCAGTTCACCAGTCACTCCTTGGAAATGCTATAGAGGGTCACTGTGGGTAGGAACCAATTCAATGGCATTTATCAACAATTGCACTGATTAGCAGTCCAATGCTTATCCTATAGCACCACACCAGGGCTAGAAAGTCACTTGGCTGAAGAAAATAATGAGTTGCCAGGGTAAAATGAAAAAAACTGTAGTTTGGTTCACGAAAATTTAATCTAACTTCTAAAATCTTGGTCTCTAATCCAGAGGGGATGAAATCAGTCATCAAACGCTTCCTTTCCAACAAAAGATTCCATCAGCCTTACCTCTCAAGGGAAGATGAGGCAGGAACCTCAATAGCAGAGGAGACTCAAACCCACTACCTTTTCATTTAATTACTTGCATTTTCTTTTCTCAATGTGAGAGGCAAATCAAGGTTCTCTGGACATACAAAAGAGCCAGTAGTTTGGAGTTAATAATAATGGTCAAGATTAAGAATTACAATGTCTGATACAAAAAAAAGAAAAGAAAAAGGTACCATTTAAGATATGAAATACAGTATTTTAAAATAATAATCACTATTTTCAGAAATAAATTATTAGTACAGAAATAAAAAATTAGGAGAGAAATAAATTGACTATATTGCAGTCATAATTAAGGGACATAGAGAAACCATAAAAATTTAAAGACTAATAAATGGTGTGTTGTTGTTGCTAAGTGTTGTGGACTTGGTTGCAATTCATAGTGACCCTGTATAGGGTTTCTAAGGAGCAGCTGGTGAGCTTGATCTGCCGATCTTGCAGTTCAAACTGACCTTCAGTCCAGCACATTAACCCGCAGCGCCACACCAGAACTCCTAATAAAGGATACCCTCTGGGAAATTTTAAAAAGGTGTCTAGTCACCTTCCCTTTGCAAATATTGACTTTAAAAAGTTGGAAGATACAAGATAAATGTTGGAAGATGCAAAAGTCAGCCCTTATACCTCTTCTCACCTTCTTGGGGAATTAATGTGTTTCCATGGAGTTAATTCTACCATGGACTTCTGCTGTGGTGCTGTCGGATCAACACTGGACTGCAAACTACAAGGTCGGCAGTTCAAACCTACCAGTTGCTCCTTTGAAAGCCTATTTTTGGTTGCTATGAGTGGAAACTGACTCGATGGCACTTAACAGAAACAACAACAACAAAATTGTAACACAATGCTTACAATCACGTAACATCTAGCTCTGATATGTCGTTCTCTGCTGAACTATGGGCTCACATGCCCTCATCTTACCTGTCACCTGTGTAACTGTTGTTCGGTGTCTTTGAGTCGGTTTCGAGTCATGGAGACCCTATGTACAACCAACCCATGGAAATCACCTTTGAAGGCATCTCAAGCTTAACATATTGGAAAGCCAAACTCAGAACTTCATCCTCAAACCTGGTTCTCCATCACTCTTCACCAGCCCATTAAATGGTGACTCAATTCTGTTCTTTGATTTGGCCAAAAATATTGGATTAATTTTTAGCTCCATTCTTTCACCTATATGCCATATGCAACCTAAAAGCGAATAAATTCAGCTTGCTCTTCGAAGCATGTAATAAATCTAATGGCTTCTTTCGACCTGAGCTGTCACCACCCTGCACAAAAGTCCTCGTCGTCTTACCATACAGTTATTTTCATAGCTGTCCTACTCCTTGTTCCTATACCTGGTTTATACTGCCAACATAGAACCCAAGCAAATCCTCTCAAAAAGTAATTCAGATAGCTTCACTGCTCTGCTCAAAATCCTTCAGTGGCTTCCCAATCTACCCAGAGTTTAAGCTCCAGTCCTTGGAGTTATCTACTTGGTTCCTCATATTTCTGCCCTAATTTCCCACTCCATCCTTCTCTTTGTCTCTCCAGTCATGCTGGCTTTCTTGCTGTTTTTTTTTTGCCCACTCCAGACAAAAACCAAATAAAAAACAGAAATAATGGAAAAAATATAGTACAGCTAAGATAATCAAAACAGTATATCAATGAATAATAGACTATAGGTTAGTTAAACACCCTTAAAAATGAGTTATTCTGATCATTTAAAAATTAAACTTTGGAGTCAAAATAATACTTTATCACTTGCTATTGTTGTTCTTCGGTGCCATTGAGTCAGTACCGACTCATAGCGACCTTGTGTACAACAGAACGAAACACTGTCTGGTCCTGGGCCAACCTCACAGTTGTTGCCACGCTTGAACCCATTGACGCTGCCATATTGCCAATTCATCTTGCTGGGGGTCTTCCTCTTTTTCTCTGACCCTCCACCTTACCAAACATGATATCCGTCTTCAGCGACTGGTCAGTCCTGACAATTTGTCCGAAGCATGAGAGACAAAGTTTGGCCATCCTGTCCTCCAACGAGCACTCTGGCTATGCTTCTTCCAACACAGATCTGTTTATTCTTTTGGCAATCCATGGCACTTTCAATATTCTCTTCCAACACTTTGTTGTTGTTAGGTGCCATCGAGTCAGTACTGATCCATAGTGACCTTATGGACAACAGAATGAAACACTGCCCAATCCTGGGCCAACCTCACTGTTGTTGCCATACTTGATGCTGCCACTTGGCCAATCCATCTTGCTGGGGGGTCTTCCTATTTTTCTCTAACCCACCACCTTACCAAACATGATATCCTTCTCCAGCGACTGCTCCCGCCTGACAATATGTCCATAGTATGAGAGACGAAGTTTGGCCATCTTGGTCTCCAAGGAGCACTCTAGATGCACTTCTTCCATAGTGGATCCATTGGTTCTTTTGGCAGCCATGGTACTTTCAATATTCTCCTCCAACACCATAACTCAAAAGCATCAATTCTTCTATGGTCTTCCTTATTCACTGTCCAGCTTTTGCATGCATATGAGGTTACTGAAAACACCATGCCTTGGGTCAGGCGCACCTTAGTCCTCAAGCTTCCAACACTTACACCACTTCAATTTTGGGTTTAGATGAACAGAGTTGCAATCAAAATCTATTAGTAGCTGAAAAGTTAAAAGCAGTGTATTCATAAATGCTAGATTATTAGTATAGCATGCCAGTCACAAATGATATATCATCTCATTTAAATGAAAAATTACAGAAATACAAAGTACCCAACTCATTTCTAATAAGTCACCATTATAAAGCATTTTCCAAGTTCATGTCCTTTTATTGACTATTTATATGTTATTTTGTCTTATAGAGTCCTGGTGTGGTGCTGTGGGCTAATGCACTGGGAATACAACATCAATTTGAACAGCAAGGTCCATGGTTCAAACTCACCAAGTGCTCCTCAGGAACCCTATACAGGGATGCTATGAGTTGGAACTGATTCGACGGCACTTAACAACAACAACATTTTGTCTTATAAAACTCCCTAGTGTTGCTCTCTCATGTGACCATACCAAAATCACTCTTTTAAAAGCCAGTTTTTCATATTACAATATTTTTGAAAAGTTTCACCAGGTAACTTGATGTACCTCTGACTGCAGAAATATCTGCCACAATTTGGTTGTAGAGAATTAGCAAGATTTTCTGTAAATG